TGAAAGGAACTTGGTTCGTTTCTGTGCTCCGTTGCTGGCACATTTATCTCTTTTTTTTCCCCAGGGAATCTGGAACTCCAAACCACAATTTCTTATAAGATGGCATAAGATCTTAAAGCTGAGACTTACAAAGTTTTGGCTGCTTGTACACTTCAGGCATTTAAGTTCAGGATTTTCAGCGTAGTTCAGGTGGAGATTACAATGGGAATTGCAGTTTTACTTGGGTTTTCTGGTGTTTGCCACTTCTCAAGTATGTTCTTACGTGGGACAGAACTCTGGTTTGAATTTCAGCACTGCTTGCAGAAACAGAACACAGTCTGATTTTAACAGGATGTTCTTTGGGTTGGCTGTAGGAATTCTCCTGCTGCTGTTCTAGAGGGGCTTTGATGGCAGAAATCCTGTTTCACTCATAACATGCACATGTTGATATTTTATAACCTTTCCCTATTCATTGCTTAACTAAGTAAGGAAGATTTACCTAACCAAAACCAGAAAATGGAATTCTTGGTCTGGATCAGTTCCATCCCAATCAAAGCTCTCACCCCTCCGACCCCCCAGGGCAGGAGACATCCCATGCAATACTGCAAAGGCAAACAGGGCTTGGAGCCCACATGCTGCTGGCATGGAACTCATCCACTCTGGGCTGTGATTTGTGCAGGTCAACAATATTTTTATTGCCTCCACTGGTTCTAAGCAGCCTTTGTTTACACGGGTTCAGCTGATCTTGCCTAACGTGCACTCATTTCTGACAGACCCAGAGGAGCTGTGTGGGAGGATGGCAGGGGAGTGTAACCTAATCTCTGCTTTATATAACATTATTGACTTCTCTTTTCTTGCTGTGTAGCATAACTTTTGAAACTCTGCAACAAAAATGTGAGTAGCTCATCTACTAACTCCATGTTTGAGGATTGATATTTTTGTATATCATGAATGCTTTAGAATTGTCTAATTAAATGCCTTTGTAACACTCCTTTTTTTTTTCCTTTAGGACATTTCTTTGTGTCTGGCCAGGCCAGAGGTTTGCTAGAACATATCTACCTATTTCTCTGTGCTTCTCTCACTTAACTCTTTTGCCACTTTATCACCTACAAAGCTACTTTTCCATTCCCACACTCCCAAATCTCTATGTCTCTGAGCTGAACCTGTGAACAAATTGGCCACACAGTAAATGGTCTCATGTCATCAGTATAATGTTGGTAGGAATATCATGTCTGCAGATCATTGAAAGGACAGTGCATGTCCATTTAGTTCATTCAGTTTGAAGGAAAGACTTTTTTTATTTTGTGTTCTGAGACTGGACAATGCCATTTTTGCCATTTTGGGTTCCATAGTGATACAGGAACATGTGTGTTAGAATCAGCTCTTATTTTTTTCCCCCTAAATAAGACATCTCAAATGTTTTCCAAGCACAGATCACATATCTGTGTTGCAGTGATTATTCTGGTTTTTATGAATAATGAGGGTAATGGTAGGACACTTGAGAGACACTTGTTTGAACAGTAGAACTGTTAGCTGTTTTTTGCATTGCTCTGTGTGTGACCAAAAACATAACACTAATCTTTTTAAGGTTCCCTCTATATATACATTGTGAAGTGGATTTTAACAGGGAGCAAAGAGAGGTCTAACTCTCAGGTCTCATATTAAGCCACTTGGCCAATTTCACAGCACATTAAATGTTTCTGCTTCTGTTTTACACTTACAGATAGGAATGATCCCTACTCATCTTTATAAAACATCCAAAAATGGCATGAAAAGGTGTTTATGTGCAACAGGCACTTGATGACTGTTGATTTCAAGGGTTTAAAAAATGCATAAACTCAACTTTTGAATTTAGTATGTCTTCTGAACTTGAACACCCAATACTCTGTAGGAATCTGAAACACTCACTGCTGAGCTTCCATCCTCAGAGGAGGAAAGGGCTTTGATCTGGGAAATCTTTGAGCCATCAGCAGATTCTCTATGATCCTCATGGTGCATGTTTTCCTCTGAGCCTGCTGGACTTCTGTTTCTATTTGAACCAAAATCTATGATGAAGGATCAGTTTCTGCACTGATGAGGGTGTGGGTTCTGTGCTTTGCTTTGGGGCTTTTCAGGGCTCAGGTTAGCTGAAGAGCAAAAAGCAGTGAGTTATTGCAGCAGAAAGTTCTGCACAACTCCCTTTTGGTGAATTTTTTAAGTTCAGGGAAGTCTGTCTGGGAGACACCTCATGATGTACTATATGCAAATACCTGAATTTGTTAATGTGAATTTTTTTGAGATGTTTTTGTTCAGTTGTGTGATATTCTTTCCTGAAACTAAGAGAGTTAAGTGTTAACAATAGTTTGCTGATAAGCCAGTTTATGCCTTAGATATCTGCCCCAGTTTGTCATCACTCATCCCAAAGGCATTCGGTGTTTGAGAAAGGCTGTTACAATTACAGGATGATCAGGAATCTTCTTTGATTCCCCACACTGAGTCAGTAAGAGACTCACAGGACCCATCCTGCTCTGCCCAGGTGCTCAGGGGCCGGGGCTAGCTCACCAGAGTCCTCTGAGGTTAAACACTTCTGTCGCAGAAAAGAGCCGATTTGCATAAGAATCTAATCTGGCCTTTGCTGAGGTGATTGTTAAAATTCCAGCAAACTGAAGGATGTTGACATTTGAAACTGTTCTAAGCAATAGCTTTGTTAAACCCTAATCTGCTTTGAGCCACGTTGTTCCAGTGGATGTGCTGTGGAACAGAGAGGTTGAACAGTTCTTTTATTGGTGCTTCTCGATGTCTCTGTATTTTCCCAGTGAAATCTGAAGCTGAGTGAGGTTTCTGCTCAGGGACACTGGATACAGCCTGTGCTAGTTGTGTCCTGTGCACTGAGCATGAGCTGGATGTTGGATAAATGAAGGTGGGAGGGAATTAGTTCTGCAGTGTATTCCCCAGGGACAATCCTCACTACCTCTGAAGGAAAACTGATCCACACTCCCCCACATCTCCATTTGTTAGGTGGTGTGTAAGAGGCATGAGGAGGTGAGGTGTCTGGACTGAACAGCCACAATGAGATAATGTCTCTGACTGGATCCCCCTCGGTCCTTACCCCCTCATCTAACCTTCAGACGTACAACTCTGTGCAGGAAATTTATTACTTCTCTCTGCTGCACCCTCAGATTTGTTTGCAAGGTGAATACTTTGTTTTAAACTAAAAGGATTCTTTTAACATTATGCTCCATTGGTGACTGACAGTTGCTAAAGAGCCAGTGAAAACTTTATTACTGTCAAAAATACCTGAATAAATTAATTTTAAAAAC